TGGCCACGATGCCAAAGGCGTTTTTTCGGCGTTTGACATTCTTGACATTTTTTTTTCGATCACTTCAATATCTTTACTGAGAGATGGCCACCATACATAAGATCGGGCAAAAATTTGTTTATGTAGAGAAGAAAACATCTTCAATGCCAATTTCGTGACGTATTTTATGAAAAGGTTTCACTTCCTCGAGAAAATTTGAAAGCCACCCATTTTTTCACATATGATACCACTTGTGATAATACTGGGTCCATAATGGTTTCTTCTCGAATCCTAGTAATATCAGTGGGTAAATATTCCACGTTTGATAAATAATTCAAGTTGATATGAGAACTTTCAAAATCTCTCATGTCTTTTTCAAAATAAAAAATTTTTGAATCTTTGTCAGCATCAAGAACCGGCAGTCTAGAAAGGAAGTCTGCAATGTTGGCTGACGTATTGACATACTCAAAAGCCTATCAATTTCTTCATCAACCTTCTTCTTCATTGCAAAGGGTAAAGGTCGAAACTTACAAAACCTGCGTTGAGCGTTTGGGTAGACCCGTAATTGCAACTGAAATTTGTTGAAGCAACGTAGCTTGCTTGAAAACACCTTAGGATTTTTTTTATAAAGTAATTCTCAAATGACGTATAACCTTGTAAACTATGAATACTATGTTCTGCTTCCTGAAAAAATATTTCTTAAACAACGAAAGTGGCAAAACAGATGTTGCAGTACCTGAATCTAATTCCATTTTCAAAGGAACGTTCACACTGTAAAGTCGCATCAGCCTGTGACATAGACTCTATCTGAGTCAGATAATTTAGCATATTTCTTTGTTTCTTGCAAACAGAACTCAGATGACCTTTATTTGAGCATATATTTCTAGTGTACTCACAATACGGACAAACATTTGCTAAATGACTTTTGCAGCAGCGAAAACACTTCACTTAACACAAAACACTTTCCCACTTCTTTCAGCTCTCCCTTCGACTGATGAATGCCCCCTTTCCACACTGGAAGCCTTCTTGTGACATTCATTTCGTTGAACGATTCGGCGAACATCGGCTTCATTAGGTTCACGTTTGATTTCGGTATCACACTGAAGCGTTCCCGCCTGAGCCGCTTCTTCTGTCAAGGCCACTTGCAATGCATTCAAATTTTTTCGCTGAACAACCTGTTTCTCACCTTGCCCGGATTATAACCTGTGATGAATTTATCACACAACTTCGTATCAAACGATTCACCAAAGTCGCAATGCATGGATATCTTTTTTAACCGCGCACTCCATTCTTGAGTACTTTCTACTTCCTGCTTGGATGCTGAATAAAAACTAAATCTTTCCACAAACACAACATTTTGTTTCTTGAAGTAACTATCCATATGGCCGGTTAATATCGCCAAACCGGACGTTTCTGGCTCATCTGGCACACATTAGGTTTGAAGCAATCCGTATGCATCCTGGTGCAAGCCGTTAAACAGTATTGCACGCTTGATATTGTCCTCAGCAATATTATTCGCGATGAAATACTGCTGTAACCTTTTCCAACGCACATACCAGTCATTAACAGCTGGGTTGAACTAATGTTGAATTCCTCTTGAAGCCATCCTTAACTCACTAGCAGAAGTCTTTGTGCTTTGTCTTAACTCTATTAACAATGATGCAAGTAGACAAAAATTGAATAAAAAAAAAACACTTGATCCTCGTCGCCAGAAATGTAATGTTTAATTGTTCATAAACAGCATTAGGGTCTCAGGCGCCTTGCAGCAGGCCTTGCACCTTGCATCAGGGACTTCCATACCCATCACTTGAGTGTAGTAGACTTAAAATGTTGATGACACCATCCTGGCAGAACATGATGGTGTCTTTATTATTAATCAATCAATAAATCGATCTTTATTAACCGTTCGGTACTTAACTTACATATGGAGAGTCAATAAATGTACTAGATAATAAATACATAATTAAAGTAATAATTTATCATATATGAATAAAACTACAACATAAATATCACAACAGCACATGATATATGAGTACCACAGTTGAAGAAGGGTCAAGTAATGAGTATCTTAAAATTAGATGCTGGTCCCATCCGGCATCGCCCGGTGTGATACCATCGCAACGGCTTAGGCAGCGTGAAGTTGCTATTGGGCTAACGTTTCGTTGCTGTGTCACTGTTTCTGGTTTCAAGGGTGGGAATATAAGGAAAATTGCATGATGACGCTCTTAGGGTCAAAATACTCCGGAGGTAAAATAGCTTCCCAATGTGATCTCCGGGTGGGCATCATCCTGCAGTTATTCGGAAACCACTACATATTTTCGACAGTCAGCAGGGTCTTCCTAACATCAGTCCACAGGGAAATAGCACGGTAATTTCTGTTGCAAAGAGGCCCACTAGCAAATTCAAAATCGATTTCTGCAACATCAGAGGACTCATCTAAAATATAAACTCAGTGCACCAACATCTACAATCAAATAGTCCTCATATTCTTGCACCAACAGAAACCAAAGTTAGTGCTTCAACAAACCCCGCCAATTTTCTATATCCCGGCTATGATTTCTAGACGTAACTTTGGAATAACTCTTTTTATCAGAAGCGATATCTTCTGTCAACGAGAGGAAATGCTGGAATCCCGAAACTTTGATGTTATGTGGTTCAAAATAATATCACAGAAGATCACCAAATTCATATGTTGCGTTTATCGTCCACCTAGCGATAGACAATATGGGGAACTATTCTTTTCACTTGCCAACACCATTGACTTTCTGCAAATCAATCATCTCAGTGCCGAAATTTACAAATTTGGTGACTTTAATGTCCACAATTTAGAATGGCTCAAATTTTCAAATATCAACGACGAACAAGGTCGCGAACCTGGGGCTTTTGCAATAAGCAGCGGACTTACTCAGATTATAAATGAGCCAACCAGGATTCCTGACCGTGATGAAGAATATGCTAGTCTTCATTAAACGAAAGAAAAAATGTCATTGGCCTATTCTATGATCTAAGCCGGGCATTTGATACTATAGACCGTAACTTATTAAGACTCAAACTACAAGCTATAAGAGTTCGTGGTGTTGCTCTAGACTGGGCAACTACTTATTTGGACAATTGAAAAGAAACTGTAGTATTGGATTCCATAAAATCCAAGACAAGAGAAAGTTATCATGAAGGTGTACCTCGAGGATCCATTTTGGGGCCTCGTTTCTTTATGATATTCACGAGCGACATAAAGAACACCTGTGTTGCTGCAGATCAAATCATTCTCTATGCAGATGATACGAATATGTTAATGTCCAGAACAAATAATGAACAACTAGTAAAGAATGGTAATAAGGCATCAAAGGAAATCAGTGACTATTGTAGTAAAAATGGACTAGCCTAAGCACCACTGAGACCTATCATATTCGATTCTTACCAAAAAATATGAATCCTGAAAATGATATCTATCTAACAGTCAATGAAAAATCGATAGAAAGCAAAGAGAGTATGAAGTTCTTAGGTGTTGTGCTTGATAGGAAACTTTCATAGGAAAACCATATCACCACTTTATGTTCAAAACCCAGCACAATCACATACATTATTAGGAATCTGAGTTAGATAAGTACTTTTTGATCATTCCCATATTGATTTCAATTTAAGAGCCACTGGTAGACAGCTGTTTCAGCCTATTGGGCATCATCAGTACCGGGCAGGCGGTCCTCGATTGAAGACAAAATGGGAAAAACCAAGAAAAGTACTTAAAGAAAATAACTGCGTAAACGCACACTTATTGGTGTGACCCCCCAAGTCAACTTGCCAAGTTTTTATGTCAGTATTGGTGGTTTGACCAATCAAGCGACAACTGCGGTGGCAGATATTTGGGAAGCTAACCTGGAATGTCATCGAAAAACGAATCCACATGTTTCTAGAAAAGATATGAAATCTAGAAAAGTTAATGCAGTCAAGCTGCTGGATAATAATTCCATGAAAATCAAAAGATAAATAAATAAGTACCATTCTGATCATTCTCATATTGATTTCAATCTAAGTGCCACCGGTAGACAGCTGTTTCAGCCTATTAGGCATCGTCAGCCCAACAGAGTATGTTTTTATCTTGGGTTATTTGTTCCCAGTTATGAAGATAGTTGCTAATTCTACCGCCATAACTTACCTCTAATTCCGTTGGGTTCTGTTCCGGGTGTAGTATTGGGGATCTTTTTTCATTTTTCTGTCTCTCGCCGGCTTCTTCGTTTGTTTGTTGTATGTCACATATCGCTCTCCCCCCCTCCATTCTTCGGTCTTCATTCTTTTCTTGTAGTTTGGACGCTGTGAGTTTGAATGACGACTCATTGATGGTTTTTGCTCTCTATTTTTGATCAAATCCTGAGCTGTATTTTCCACTGTTTTTGCTAATTTGCATTTTTCAGTTAAGTCGGAACCCAACAAATAGGTGTACAATTTTTTGTTGAGATGTGATTTGTTTAACAGCATCATTAAAATATTTGAAGAGTTGATACTTTCTGAGTAGTGAAATATTATGAAACATGTCTGTCAGTAATTTTCCGGAGTCCACTAATTGCTATGTTCCATTTTATTGCCACTGAACAGATGTTACTCATGTTCAGCTGGCTCATTTTTGGAAAAACCTCCGTGATGGCCGAGAACAGATATTACTCATGTTCAAATGCCTATCGCTTGAATTTCTCAAAACAGATTTGACTCATGATTTGAGAAATGTGGTCGTCTTCTTGATTTTATTGTAGGTCCGTGATATTGATGTTACTCAATAATCGGCTACCGTTTTGGAAATTTCTATACAATTTTTAATTGTTTCATTTATTTAGTACTTACTTGAGGATTATTTATCCAACATTAATTTTAATTTTCTTATTTTCCTTCTAATTCTGCTTTGGAACTCTTTGATTTTCCGTTTTCTGTGCTTGGGCATTGTTATTGAATAAAATTTTCCGCTACACTATTCACTGATAAACACTTTGCTTGTACGAGCGTAAGAAACATGAATAGGCCAGCGAGGCGATATGGGAACGTGAGTCAGAGGCACTATCTAATTCTCATTGATAAATATTATGCCAAAAAAGGGTGCGAAACATAAACTACAGTGTGATCTCGAGGACGGGACCATCGAAGTATAATTATGAGTAGCCGCATTCACTTCAAAAGATGAAGTAAAGGTCCCAATACTGATCCCTGAGTAATGTTACGTCATGTTCCTTGAACATGATATTGTTATATTTAACAGTCGTACGACGAACACTCATATAGGTTTTTAACGAAGATAATACGTTATGTGGAAACCCAAGCCTAACTAATTTTACATATAGAAAATCTGGTCAAACAGTGTCGAATGCCTTTGACTGATCAAAAAATATACTTATTACAAGATTACTGACATCAATTTGACCATGTTGATTATTACATATCAAATTATTTGACTCTAGGTAATTTACTATTCTAGTAGACACCACTTTTTTATACAGTTTTGAGAGTGAACAAAGTGAAGAAATCTGTCGTTAGTTATAAATTCCATTTTTATCTCCCCTTTTAAGCAGAGGAATAACTGTGGCTTTCTTAAACTCTTCTGGAAAGTAGCCTTATATTAAATAAGTGAAGGAAATTGCAATAAGATCAATTATTTCTTTAACAACTATTATTGACAGATCATCTGATCCACTTGAGTTTTTATTTTTCATCAACCTCAATGCAGCGTGAATTTCATGTTCAGTAATTGGTCCATTCTCAAACGGGTGTACTATATTAATGTTGGTACTGACTGTACAAGGTAATGTTAGATTTTGACCTAAGTAACTAGAAATTGCAGTGTCGACAGAATTTGCATAATAGGTCTGTTATAACAGAAGGGTCTTCAACATTAATTGACTTATGATTGAGTGTAATATTTACAGTACAAGATTTTTTCTTCTTCCCAACTCACTGTTTATTATATTCCAGGTTTCTTCAGTTCTGTTATTGGCATTGTTAATTTTTGTAGAGAAGTTGCTCATCTTAGTTTACCTAACTTTTTTTTTTGTATACAGCCATATTGTTAGGGTCGACTACTTGATCTCAATTAAATGAAACATGTCTCTAAGATATTTTCCCTCCTGGGCTACATCATTAGAAATCTAGCAATTTTTTGTCTTCATTGACAACAGTTTGTCTTCTAGGACATGAGACATCAAAGCACCAATAGAGGGACTCTAGAAAAAAGAGAAATCGTCATGAATTGTCATGTTATATAACACTGGAAACCAAATTGTAGTACTGAGTGTAGTTCCTAATTCATTAATGCTGCATGCGTTAAGTTGTCTTTACCAGAACAGATTCAACCGAATTTTTCCTTTCATTACTCGTTAAGTTTTTTAAAAGTTAATATATGGGATAAATGAGAGAGAGAGAGAGAGAGAAAGAACTTTATTGTCCAAAGAACAGAATTCTTGTTAACAAAGTTTAGAAATACATTTATGTATGTACACATATAACTATATATACACACACACACATATACATCTGACACACAAAGCGACCAATCCAAAATTAAATAAACACCTTAAAATAATAAAACCAAGTAAAATAATATAAAGTGCTTATACAAGTGATTGCAATGTTAGTCAAAATCTTCATTATAATATTCGTCTAAAGTATAAAAAGCTTTATTTAGCAAAAAACATTTAACAGCACTTAGTTTAAGAAGTCACACTAGCTCTATTCCCATATTTTTATTACAGCCAACGTGATAGGTTAGAAGATCTTATCAGAGGACTGACACCAGAAAAAACTAAAATAGGTGAAGTAATGGTGTTTTGTATAGAACATAGTGAAGCTGCAGAAGAAATAGCCGAATGCATAACAGAATCTTTGTCAAATGAATCTACTCCTTTGACAAAGAAGATTTCAAGACTTTACTTAGTATCAGACATTTTACATAACTGTGGGGTGAAAGTTAATAAGGCATCATTTTTCCGGAAAGCGTAAGTGTAAATACAGATAAATAGAAGTTATATATTTTGATTCCCTATACATATTGTATATTTTTGAAAGGATTTTTTAAGTACCAACATTGTACTAATGACTATACACTAATGTACTTTAACTATTCAACATCTATTGAATCGAATCTTGAATTGGGCTACATTTTTTAAAATATTAATTTTCCATTAATGATACATTATTCACATATAGAAAGTCACAGATGAATGATGAACTTGATTGAAAGTAGGCATTTATTCCATAATAATTTTGAATTCATTGATCTCACATCTCACTTTTTAGGAAATTTATTTTTTTTCATTCAGCATCAGATTTTCTTGTAGGAAGAAAGAAAAAAATATCGCCCAAAACTGAGACACGCTGATATTTACATATTACTCATAATATCCATATTATGTAAACAATACATACAAACATGAGAATGTCAAATATGATAAAAGTATAGTAGAATAAAAAACTCCTCCAGAGAATAAAATAGTCTATCAGAAATTACTTGAGGCTATTACTGAATTTAAAAGTTGTGACACAATTAGTAATGGTTTTTGGTAATTTATCAGGCGGTTGGCTCTTTTCTGGATGGAATTCAACAGTTTCAGGGTATGCTTAGGGGCGGAGCTCCATACATGAGAACAATACTCAGAAGACGGTCTGATCTGACCTTTATAAAGCCTCAAAGTTGCTGAGATGTGTACAGTTTTCTGGTTCGGAACAGTGTTCCAAGCTTTTGAGAAGCGACCTTTGCAATTCCATCAACATGATTGTGTCAATACATATTGCTGTCCATTTAAACCCTCCAACAAACTTATCGAAGCAGAAAGCGGAATTGTCTGACATGACATCACTATATCCGGTTCGGAGACATTAATCTTTTTGGAGAAAACCGATGCCTGGGTTTTTGTGGCATTAAAATGAACGTGGTTATTTTCACCCCAATTCGAAATTACTTCTATTACGTTTTACAATAAATTGAGATCTATCTAAAAGATTTCTTTATATATGTTATATCTTAATTTGGAAATATGAGTTTTTAAAAAATATTTATTTTGAAAATGGAGAAACAGTACAGTTACAGAATGCACAATATAAAGTAATGTGAATGCAAAAGTAACAAACTTGTGGCTAACTTATTTCGTCACGCAGGACGGTATTTATAGGAAAACGATTGTTTACATAAGCTGAAAATAAAACTAAAAGAAAACAGAGTTTTTCTGTTGTCTTTGAAGAACTGCGTGTTAGCAGGTGTTGATTCCGCAGTCAGCGTTGACATTTAATCATGTTTACTCCATGTCTCCTTTGGTATGAACGGAAAAGGTCAATAAACATATAACAATTCCCTTTATATTCAAAAAGTTGGTGCGATGTGGCAAATGTTTATGACTGGGAATGAAATGAAAAATTATGGGACGTATTCACATTTTGTTGAGGTCGATTTCTTCTATTTCTAGAATTTCGTCTCTGAGGCTGGGTCTTTGTCTTGGCTAGGGTTTTCAGCGACCTGAAAGGTCTAGGTGGTGGCGACGGAAGATTGCTTGAATCTTCAATAGATAGGTTTCTTCTGCGCCTTTTTCTGCACTTACAGAGAATGTACGAAATTATTAGTACAATAATGAGTGTGATAGTCAAATAGGTAAACCATGAGATGTGTTTGGTTACATAAGGTTGATTTATCAAATCTACAAGAGTTTTGAAATAATCCAATTTATGCTTGGCGATACCCAAATCGTTGACGTTTAGTGTCAACGGCTTCAGCTTCGGGAGGCTCGATTTGTCCGGGATCTTGTTACAGCAATCGTATGGAATTAGGACTGGATGTGATCCATACGAAACATTTGACAATTTTGAAAATCTGGAATCCGCTTGAATTTTCGTGATTTCCATAAATGCACTACAATCGGTTTTTAGAGTCACTATGAAATTTTTGTTGATGAATTCCGTTTTCGGGTTCTTTCCGAAACAGTTCACAGTCACTTGTAATGGTTCGGAAAGTATTATAAGCCATAATATTATAAGCCATAGATTTGTTTAAATTTTGTGGACATGATAAATTTGGCTGAAGGAAAGAGAACTTTGTCAATTTTGGTCAATTGGATACACGAACATATCGTAGCACAATTCAGATCAGTGTATTAACGGTTTATAAGCACTTGTAAATATAGAAAGCTTTCCATGAGTTTTTCACAAATTACTATGAATTTTAGTTTTGCTTCTATTCGACTCATTCTGTCATTCAATTCTATTATCGATGTTTTCATTTCTTTTATATCTTTGTTGAAGGTTTGTTCGTAAACTTGTAGTTTTCTCACAGTTGTGTTGAAGTTTTGAATAACAAAAGTAGTTATCGATATTTGGTTCTTTAATAGGTTTTCTAATTGATGTTTATCGTTATTTAGCCTGTTTTTAGAATTGGTGTAGAATTCACCATCAGAGGCGACAAGACATCTTTTGTATCTTTTTGTATCTAACGTAATTTCTTGAAATTTCAATTGGATCAATTTTGCTATTCGAGTAAGAAGACTAATGTGTGTCTTTACTTCAGATGTGAATTCATTAGTAGATAGATAGATCTTTATTTAAATAGGATAGGTATCCTAATAATATACAAATCAACTAGAATGGTAGAAATAAAAAAAAAAGGTATGTGTTACATATAGAAATGACTTAAATGTATGACAAACAAATATTTTTGTTTACTAATAATGTCCACTTGTCATTTGTGAGGACAATGATGCCAGTTTCATGGTAATACACACCTACGGTGTTGTTGATTGGTTCGATTTTGTAATTATCTACTGATGTGACCAGTAGGAGAAACCTGAAAATAAATTAGTTTTCAGTGTATGGTTTCATACGATCAAAATTTACTTTTATTCGTTGGTTTGTTGGTAAATTTAGAAGTATGGCTGAATTTTGAAAATTTCGTTTTATTATGAACGGTCCGTTAAATTTTTGCAATTTGCCTTTTATTTGTGATTCTTTCACATAGACTTTATCACCTACTTTCTAATCCGGTGGTTGGCGGAAAATGTTTTTCCTTTTTTCTTTTGATTTTTTCACGTGTGACTTTATAATAGTGAGAAATCCAATTATTGAGATCTCTTACGTATTTGGTAATGAGTTGTTCTTGATTATACAAGTTTTCAGGAGGTCTAATAGCTGTGTGACCAAACACTAGCTCGTGTGATGGGTAAATCTTGAGATTCATTTACAGAGTTGTTATGACATATTACACCATATGGTAATACGTTAAAAGGGTGGTCCCTGCCAAATGGGCTCTAATCATTTCAAGTAGGGTTGCGTGGAATATTTCCACTGATACATTGGATTGAGGATGGTTTACGCTAGAGTATGTCAATTTTATGTTAATAGATTCCAAAGATCTCTAAGTAGGACATTATCGAATTCTCGTCCGTAGTCGCAATGAATTCCTAATGGAGTACCACAATGTTGTACAGTATAAAAGAAGAGTGTCTGATATTTTTCTTGCAGTTTTATCCGGGATTGGATAAGTCATTTTGACTTATATACAGGGTGAGAAATTGATGTTCTATCACCGATTCTGGGTCGGAAGTGAGAGGAATTATGTAGTATTTCCAATTTTTGTTTATTTTGGTCGATACTATATTTATTCGTAGATTTCGAAAATCGTAATCTTCGAGAATGTCTTCAAAAATGTTATAATTTTGAGTTCTCTCTGTCTAGGAAATATTAGAATGTTTTAATTTTATTTTTCAAGTATTTGACAGTTTGAGTATTCGACTTTTGAATAGTCAATTAAAGATTCAGTTTTGTATATATTTATGAAAGTTGAAAATTCTTGTGAAATGTGTTTGGCTGAATTTTCCGTTTCATTATTTTCAGAAGTTTCAGGGTTGTCAAGGTCTTTATATGTTTCTTCTTTTGGATCTTGAATTATTTCAAGGTGTGAATCTTCGTTTGTGGGTAAGATGAAAGTATCTACTTTTTGGGATTGATTTCAGTTTTGATTCGTGAAAGTGCGTCAGCGTTTCTGTGCATTTTTTCGGGTTTTTATATGATTTCATAATCATAATCCTAGAGTTTCAGCCGCCATCTACCAAGTCTGCTGCCAGTCTTTTATTGAAAATAACCGAGTGAGTGGTCTGTGATTAATTTAAATTTTCTTCGGAAGAGGTAGGGACTAAAATGTTTTCCAACTTCTGATAATTCTCGTTCAATTTCCAAAATACCTTCTTTACAGCAATCATCTAAATCATATCTCTCTACAACTCCTTGAAAATCATAAAGTTTCTAGATTGCAACTCCACCATGAGTCTTCTCTTTTCTGGAAAACGCATTACAAAGGGTGAATCTACTTAATTTAAAGCTGTCAATCGATTCTTGCGACTGCCAGTGTCCAGATAAAAGCAAAAAATCAGAATACTTGATTTTCAAAGATATTATTCAAACGTAGCTTTACTGATACGTTGGATATTCTGGTAACAAAAGGTGATTTTGGACTTTTTAGTATCAGTTACAGATTGAGGTTTTCCTACAGGTTCACTGTTCGTTCCTGAGGATGATCTAAAAAAAAAGATGAAACTGGTTCTGTCATTTAATTGTCATTTCTATTATCTTCAGAGCAAATTTTTGTTGGTTTTTGCTGTGAATTCTATATTTTTCTTTAATTTTTCCATGAGTTCAAATTTGCTGCCTTTTTGTTTTCTGTCAGTAACGAATATTATCGAGCAGTTTCTATTTAATTGTTTGAATATCTTTATTTTTTTGAAAATAAGCCTATTGATATTTTTGTCAAGGTGGTCGTTACATTCTGATACAATAAAAAGATTTGTAAATTTACCAAGACCTAGCACATTATTCAGAAATAATTGTAAATTGCTTATGTTTTTTGTGTTAAACATAACAATTATTGTATCTGCTTGACCACATTCTATTGTTTCAGAGAAAATATTTTCAGTTAACTCACCAAGTTCCATGTCCTTTCTTATATTCGCTTTTATCTTAG